TGAGAGTTTCCCAGTTAAAACTATGGTTGAGTCTGTCCATGTGTGGTGAGATTAAGGAGTTCTCATTGTGTCTTCTGACTGCTAGTTGTTGCTCGTGGATGCGCTCTGCTGGTCTTCTGCCTGTCTGTCTTACGTAGTGTTTGTGGCAGTCCTTACACTGTATGTTGTAGATGACTCCTGTCTTTTCTTCTTGTGCTACTGGGTCTTTTGGTTTATTTAAGATATTTTGGAATGAAGATCAGGACTTCTTGGCAGGAGAGGAGAGGAGAGGACAGGACAGGCGTTTAAGGGACTCTCACTGAATATCCCAACCAACCTTATCCACGGGAATCCCCTCGAACGCAACCCTTAACATTACCATGCTCTGCAGGTGCGGGGATAATCCTCGTTTCGGGATGCAATCCCGCCTGGCAGGACAAAAGGACAGGGGGAGGGTGGGGAGCCAGAGGCCGGGGCTTCTTCTGCAGCTCCAGGTGCCTCCAATCCAGCCCCGTCCTGCTGCTGGCCCTCAGCTTCTGGCGCCGACTCCTCCTGGAAGCCTTCCTCCTTCTGCTGCTGCTCCCGCCGCACCTGCTCTCGCACCTCCAGGATGATCCGGGAGAGCTCACTGAAGTTACTCAGGTTTTCAATGTCAGGGAGCTGGATGGGGTGGGCCAAGTCAATCTCGACTGTCTGCTGGCCTGCTGGGATGTTGGGATCACCCTGGCATGAGAAGGAAAAGGAGCAGATGAGGGCTTTGCATTCACAGAAGCGGTCGGCCAGGGCTTGTCCCCTTCTGTCCTTGCAGTTCTCCTAGTCCCCCTCCAGGTAGGGCTCTCCAACCCACCTTCTACTTCTCCCCTTCCCTCTTATCTTGAGCCAGTATATGGAATGGGCAGGAGTAGCCTCCATAGCTTTGAGAAATAGGAGGAAGAGCCACAACCAAGAGCAGACAGATAAAAGGAATCTGAGTCTGGGCCAGAACTGTAACCTGAGAATGCGTCTCAGGCAAGGTCCTCCCTAGTTCACGCACAGATAAAGGGAGGGAGAGGGAAAGCAGATTCAGACTTAGGAGACTCTGTTACTACCACTTCACCAGCTCCCGGCAGCAGATGGAATTTCATATTTGAAACTTGAGATTTACGGTTGATTTTTATATTTTGTGTTGGTATTGCTGTACCCGTCTACAGTCTTGGCAATGTTTGTGAAAAGCAGGATGGAAGCATTACTAAAAAATAATAAATGATGCACGGAGCAAGCAACAGTCAGTCTAGGACTCCAAAGGCTCACCGTGATTTTAGTTCCCTTGGCCTTTTTTCCATGGAAGCTAAGCATGACGATTTCAAGGCCGTGGCTCCCGTAAGTCCCTTTGAAAAGGCCTGGCTGGATAAGATACTCCGGACTGCGTGGAGGGAGGTAAATGCGTCGGTATGTCAAGCAGTTGCTGAAACAGAAAAAGCGATGCAGGTTGACAAACCGTGGGAGGACTGGTCAGAACAATTCATGTCCCCTTATAAATCAGAGAATGTGGTGTGAAGTCAGCTTTCATCAGTTAAGACAAAGATGCCCCAAATTAAAATGTCTAGTCCATTACTCAGAGAGGGACGCAAACTAGCAGAGTCCCTGGTAGACCAAAAGTGGTAAACACAAATTCCTTTGTCCCTCCTGTGGAATTTTACTTTAGTCCTACGTGTGTTGCCCTCTCTCCATTTTCCCTGGTGTCAGACCTGCCCTTCCCTCCCTCTTTCAGTTCTTGCTACAGTGGTACCTCGGGTTACAAACGCCTCTGTTAATGAACTTTTCAGGTTACAACCAGCTCCGGCCGCAAAAATTTACCTCGGTTTGCAAACTCCGCCTCGGGGTACGAACAGGATATGCGGCCATTTTCCCTCCCGTGAAACGGTCCGCGGCCATTTTTCCACCCGACACGTGGTCCGCGGCCATTTTTCCGTCCCTGACACGTGGTCCGCAGCCATTTTTCCACCCCTGGCACGTGGTCCGCGGCCATTTTTCCGTCCCTGACACGTGGTCCGCAGCCATTTTTCCAC